TTCAAACATTCTCATCCAAGAATTTCCGATGATTTTGGGCATACATAAAATGTTGACTTTCTTAAAAATAACAATGTACATTTTAATGAACAACGAATTGATAGTGATAAAGGAAAATCAAAAATTGCTCAACGATAGTTTTTTCCAGATTCGACGACTCGCAAATCTTCAACGACACACAGTTCAGTGTGTTATAATGATGAATATGATTAATGAGAAGTTGTATCTCTTCCTGTATTTTTGGTACGCCAGCTTTACTTCTAGCAGCTTTGGACAGGGAGTATTATTTTTTTGTTTCAGGTTCCTTTTCTTAGGTGTAGTAACCATTATCAACTTTTTCTACTTCTTCTGTGTCATGCTTGTGCCAACCCTCAGGGCCAAGCTCGTCCTCTTCAATATCGACACTGAGCGCAACGTAAGCTATCGTAGAAAGATTTAAAAAATTGAATATTATGAAAGTAGTTCTATTCTAGCGCGGATTGTCCCAAGGAGAAATGAGGCGATTCATTCACGAATGCCTCCATCCGGACGGAGTACTGTTGCTTCAGTTCGTTCGTGAGCACGTTGGTGGACGTATAGCTTTCGATCTCGTCAACAGATTGTTCGCCATGTATGCTGAAAGTGATGTAAGTTAAGAGCATTTTAATGAACATAAGGACACGTCGCCAATAGGCTTCGCCATACGTATATCTGCCACAAGTCAGGCATCTTAACAGCATCATATCCTATGCCCCGTGGTCGCGCGACAAAGTCAGTCTACGACATAACGTCTTTCACCAGCGCTCTCAGCTTACAAGGAAAGTGTCAGAAGTTTTGGCCTTTTGAGAGTGATAGGTATAATGTGAAGCAGCTTGAAACGGTTTCAAAACAGACTTTCTTAGACGAACTTGGGTGGAAAGTTATTGAATTTAACTTGCGCAAAATTTACATCACTGACAGTAGCCAAGACTAAGAAAGCCCATGTATTTTGGAATATAAAACTAGATGAAGTCTACTTCTTTATCCATTGTTATGTTGGTGCTTAACAGGCATTCGAACGATTCTCATGTTTAGAGGGTACTCTAAACAATGTAAAATTTGGCGTTAAAAATGCCCATGACTGCCTTCCCAAACTTTTTCTGCAGCTAAAAAAACTATCTTGAAATCAGTGTTTCAAGATGATTTATATGATAGCTATCTCAT